TTTAATTGATGGTAACAGCAACCGAGGACTTCTCGATATGAGGTTGAACCTTGATGTTTTTTACCACAGGAAGGCATCGTCCGAGGCCGTTGTGTACCGCATTTTAACAGAAAAGATACTTGGTATATTTTCTGTTAAAAGCGATAGAGCGAGAGAGCGCGAGAGCAAAAAGCGACCGTACTGCCTGGTTGAACCTTGATGTTTTTTACCACAGGAAGGCATCGTCCGAGGCCGTTGTGTACCGCATTTTAACAGAAAAGATACTTGGTAGCAAAACCTTTAATATTTGAAAAGGCAAAGCAAGTTGTCTGGCGTTTAATCTAAAAAGTAGTACTGTTTCTGCCCGGTCTCGAACCGGGGACCTTTCGCGTGTGAGGCGAACGTGATAACCACTACACTACAGAAACTGCCTCTTCAGTCCAAAGCCTGCAGATTGGCAGCCCAACAAATGTCTGTTTACTAAAACTGCACATCCACTGCAAATTCTATTTAGTCAACCGGAACTAAATTGGAAAAGAGGCCTCCTTAGCGGAGTTGCTAGTGGGTCGGTCTCATAGTCTGAAGGTCGTGAGTTCGATCCTCACAGTGGGCATGTTTTTAAAAGCTCATTTTTCAAAAGTGGCTCTGCCCCGAAAAGCCTTAGTTTTAATTGATGGTAAACGCAACCGAGGACTTCTCGATATGAGGTTGAACCTTGATGTTTTTTACCACAGGAAGGCATCGTCCGAGGCCGTTGTGTACAGCATTTTAACAGAAAAGATACTTGGTAGCAAAACCTTTAACCCTCACACTACCCTCGGGTCCTGGCGACCCGAGCGTAGGATTCCCCTCACTCCCGCCGTCCTCGGGTCAACCTAGGTAACCCCTTACGCAGCCTAGGGTCACTGGGACCCTGATGGTTGCGGACAGGGCTGGAGACTCGCGGCGTGTTTGTAGTTCCCAGACACTCTCTTGCCCTCCCCTCTGTCCTTGGGTCTTAGAAACTCGCTGTCCTTGGCCTTTCCCCCTGTCCCCGGGTCTCATAAACACGTTCTCCTACCCGCTGTCCTCGGGTCCTGGGAAACACAAGCTCTCTTGCCCTGCCCGCTGTCCTCGGGTCTCAGAAACGAAGGATGAAGAGGCCCCGGACGAGGGCATCCCCGCTGTGTTTCTTTTCGCCATCGCCAATAAATACTAATAAAGACAGTGATAATAGATGGACGACCGTGAAACGCGCGCTCGTCTTTGTATTTCGGGCTCCTCTTTTCTGGCAATACTCTGAGGGCTGTGAAAAGAGATCAAGGGTCACTCTGACCCGCTCGACTCGGGTGTGTGTACGCAATGCTAGGACAACGGCTGGGTTAGATGCCGAGGTGGCGAGTTCGAGCCTTGCCCGGGCGGTGTTTTTTTGCCCTACCAGATAATTATTAACAGCGATGATAATAATAAACCGATAACAGTGAAACACGCGCACGTTGTTGTATTTCGGCCTCCTTCTTTTTGCAATACTCTGAGGGCTGTGAATAGAGATCGAGGGTCACTCTGACCCGCTCGACTCGGGCTGTGTACGCGATGCGAGGACAACGGCGGGGTTAGATGCCGAGGTGGCGAGTTCGAGCCTCACCCTGGGCTGTGTTTTTTTTCACCCTCCCAGATAATTACTAGTAGCGATAATAATAATAAACCGATTACAGTGAAACACGTGCACGTTGTTGTATTTCCGCCTCCTCCTTTTTGCAACACTCTGAGGGCTGTGAAAAGAGATCGAGTGTCACTCTGACCCGCTCGACTCGGGGTGTGTAGGCGATGCGAGGACAACACGAGGGTTATACAGCAATATGCATGGGCACAGTACGGGAGGTTCATTTTAGGGGGGCGTTTTAAAATCCACACCCAAATTGGCACAGCACACAACCCTGGGAAGCAGTGTAATACAGACGAAGGAAATGTAAAGATGACTGTGTATTGTGAGTTCTTACAATTTGCCCAATGTTCCATACTCTGCATACGTACAAGCTCTCTTGCCCTGCTCGCTGCCCTCTGGTCTCAGAAACACACTGTCCTTTGCTGGTCTCACTGTCCTTTTCTGTTCTCAGAAACACACTGTCCTTCGCCATCGCCGCTGTCTTCGGGTGTCAGAAACACGTTCTCCTCCCAGCTGTACTCGGCTCCCGGGAAACACAAGCTCTTTTTTGCCCTGCTCGCTGCCCACTGGTCTCAGAAACACACTGTCCCTGGCCTTTCCCCCTGTCTTCGAGTGTCAGAAACACGTTCTCCTCCCAGCTGTACTCAGGTGCCAGGAAACACAAGCTCTTTTTAGCCCTGCTCGTTGCCCTCTGTTCTCAGAAACACACTGTCCTTCGCCATCGCCACTGGCTCCGGGTGTCAGAAACACGTTCTCCTCCCAGCTGTACTCGGCTCCCGGGAAACACAAGTTCTTTTTGCCCTGCTCGCTGACCTCTGGGCTCAGAAACACACTGTCCCTGGCCTTTCCCCCTGTCTTTGGGCGTCAGAAACACGTTCCCCTCCCAGCTGTACTCGGCTGCCGGGAAACACAAACTCTTTTGCCCTGCTCGCTGCCCTCTGGTCTCAGAAACACACTGTCCTTTGCTGGTTTCACTGTCCTTTTCTGGTCTCAGAAACTGTTATGGAATTATTTCTAATACCACGTAATTAATGTTACTATACCTTTATCTCTAAAATAACATTAAGCAAATACACACTGAATCCAGACTCGAAATAAGAACAGACAAGAGTATCTCTCAAGTTAACTCTAACAGTTTAATTGATAGATGAGGAAAACCATAACACACGCAATCACGGCAACAATGCAGTGGCAGGTTATTCCCACTCTACAGGAGTACAATGTCACATATATATAGGGGTAAATTTCGCACACCCTTCCACACGAACTTATCAATACCGGATGGAGAACGGATGAGGCTTACACATGATCTATACAATAATATAGGAAATGTATGGCGCTGTCACAATAACCCGAGGGTCACTCCTCAGTCGGGTCAAGGGAGGTTAGTTACAATTCGATTTGTGATGACAACACAAAAGAAGAACAAAGACGTATACATTTCCTTCTGACAGTCCATCACAGATTAGGCAGAAACAGGACATCTGTTTCTAGCATTGGGCCCTCTAACAATGTAAAGATAACATTCCTGCTTATCCTCAAGAAGGAACCAGATCCTGTTTTTCAGAGTCTCGTGCTTTCCGTTCTTAAAGTTTTGGGCCCCATTCAATGATGTCCATATCACATGCGAATATACGTTTTATCTCACTATTACTGAACTTCACAGACTATATGTATATTTTCCACAACAGAAACACACTGTCCCTGGCCTTTCCCCCTGTCTTTGGGTGTCAGAAACACGTTCTCCTCCCAGCTGTACTCGGGTGCCAGGAAACACAAGCTCTTTTGCCCTGCTCGCTGACCTCTGGTCTCAGAAACACACTGTCCCTGGCCTTTCCCCTGTCTTTGGGTGTCAGAAACACGTTCTCCTCCCAGCTGTCCTCGGCTCCCGGGAAACACAAGTTCTTTTTTGCCCTGCTCGCTGACCTCTGGGCTCAGAAACACACTGTCCCTGGCCTTTCCCCCTGTCTTTGGGTGTCAGAAACACGTTCCCCTCCCAGCTGTACTCGGCTCCCGGGAAACACAAACTCTTTTTTGCCCTGCTCGCTGCACTCTGGTCTCAGAAACACACTGTCCTTCGCCATCGCCGCTGTCTTTGGGTGTCAGAAACACGTTCTCCTCCCAGATGTACTCGTGTCCCTGGAAACATAAGCTCTTTTTTGCCCTGCTCGCTGACCTCTGGGCTCAGAAACACACTGTCCTTTGTTGGTCTCACTGTCCTTTTCTGGTCTCAGAAACACACTGTCCCTGGCCTTTCCCACAGTCTTCTGGTGTCAGAAACACGTTCTCCTCCCAGCTGTACTCGGCTCCCGGGAAACACAAACTCTTTTTGCCCTGCTCGCTGCACTCTGGTCTCAGAAACACACTGTCCTTCGCCATCGCCGCTGTCTTTGGGTGTCAGAAACACGATCCCCTCCCAGCTGTACTCGGCTCCCGGAAACACAAACTCTTTTTGCCCTACTCGCTGCACTCTGGTCTCAGAAACACACTGTCCTTCGCCATCGCCGCTGTCTTTGGGTGTCAGAAACACGTTCTCCTCCCAGATGTACACGTGTCCCTGAAAACATAAGCTCTTTTTTGCCCTGCTCGCTGACGTCAGGGCTCAGAAACACACTGTCCTTTGTTGGTCTCACTGTCCTTTTCTGGTCTCAGAAACACACTGTCCCTGGCCTTTCCCACAGTCTTTGGGTGTCAGAAACACGTTCTCCTCCCAGCTGTACTCGGATGCCAGGAAACACAAGCTCTTTTTTGCCCTGCTCGCTGACCTCTGGGCTCAGAAACACACTGTCCTCGGCCTTTCCCCCTGTCTTCTGGTGTCAGAAACACGTTCTCCTCCCAGCTGTACTCGGCTCCCGGAAACACAAGCTCTTTTTGCCCTGCTCGCTGCCCTCTGGTCTTAGAAACACACTGTCCCTGGCCTTTCCCCTGTCTTCGGTTGTCAGAAACACGTTCTCCTCCCAGCTGTACTTGGCTCCCGGGAAACACAAGCTCTTTTTGCCTTGCTCGCTGCCCTCTGGTCTCAGAAACACACTGTCCTTTGCTGGTCTCACTGTCCTTTTCTGGTCTCAGAAACACACTGTCCTTGGCCTTTCCCCCTGTCTTCTGGTGTCAGAAACACGTTCTCCTCCCAGCAGTACTCGGATGCCGGGAAACACAAGCTCTTTTTTGCCCTGCTCGCTGCCCTCTGGTCTCAGAAACACACTGTCCTTTGCTGGTCTCACTGTCCTTTTCTGTTCTCAGAAACACACTGTCCTTCGCCATCGCCGCTGTCTTCGGGTGTCAGAAACACGTTCTCCTCCCAGCTGTACTCGGCTCCGGGAAACACAAGCTCTTTTTGCCCTGCTCACTGACCTCTGGGCTCAGAAACACACTGTCCTTGGCCTTTCCCCCTGTCTTCTGGTGTCAGAAACACGTTCTCCTCCCAGCTGTTCTCGGCTCCCGGGAAACACAAACTCTTTTTTGCCCTGCTCGCTGCCCTCTGGTCTCAGAAACACACTGTCCTTTGCTGGTCTCACTGTCCTTTTCTGGTCTCAGAAACACACTGTCCCTGGCCTTTCCCCCTGTCTTCTGGTGTCAGAAACACGTTCTCCTCACAGCTGTTCTCGGCTCCCGGGAAACACAAACTCTTTTTTGCCCTGCTCGCTGCCCTCTGGTCTCAGAAACACACCGTCCTTTGCTGGTCTCACTGTCCTTTTCTGTTCTCAGAAACACACTGTCCTTCGCCATCGCCGCTGTCTTTGGGTGTCAGAAACACGTTCTCCTCCCAGCTGTACTCGGGTGCCGGGAAACACAAGCTCATTTTGCCCTGCTCGCTGCCCTCTGGTCTTAGAAACACACTGTCCCTGGCCTTTCCCCTGTCTTCGGGTGTCAGAAACACGTTCTCCTCCCAGCTGTACTCGGCTCCCGGGAAACACAAGCTCTTTTTTTGCCCTGCTCGCTGCCCTCTGGTCTCAGAAACACACTGTCCT